GATCTGCAATAGCCAATTATAGGAAAGTCTGCCTATAACTAGAAAAGGATTTTTTAATAACGATATTCATTTAAGGAAATTGTTCAGTCAGAAAGATTAGAAAATCTAAATCTATGAATGAATTCGTTACTTTGTAATATCAACCTTAACTGAAAAATCAGGTTCCCTAACAAATTCGAACATATCATGGAAATCTGAATCAATACAACTTTTTTCTTTACTTCACTAAGGAAGTAATATATAAATAACGAATTGGGATGGTTATGTTAAAAGACTTTACATTAGAAGTATTCTTTGATTTTAATTTAGATGGTCAAAACTTAAGTAAACTATAATTTAAAAAATTTCGTGCGCGCACTAGAATTTAGACAACATTGGGCATCCCAAAATATTTGTCATATAAACGAAAATTATTTTAAAAAAAATGTAAACATTAATAATTTTATTAAAATATAATTAAGGTTGAATTATAATGGTCGAGACTATAATAAATCTATAAAATCATCAATAGTGAAACTATAATAAATCTATAAAATCATCAAGAGTCGAAACTATAATAAATCTAATAAATCTATAAAATCATTAATAATCGAAACTATAATAAATCTATAAAGTCGTCAGTCGAAAGAAACTATATATTAAATCCCGTCGAAAGTCGAAACCAAAACATAGGGGTTTGACTTTTCCACTTGTTATAAGATTATAAATCTTTCATCTAATCTATTGTCCGCAAATATTTTAAAGAAAAACTATAGATTTCTCTCATTCTACTAAACCAATTTTATTTGAGGATGAATTTGTTAAAGCTGAAAATGTATGATCAAATTTTTCATACAGCAAGTAATTTTTGTTGTTCTTCTTCTTTACCATTTCTTCGATAATTGCTCCTAACCTTTCAACTTTTAAATTCTTCTGTGCAAAAATTTTGAATAATTTGAGATAATTCTCCATGGACGATTATCTTGGTTCTGATAATATATTTACCAGGAAAAGGTTTACATTTCGCAAGGAAAGGTTACATAAACTTTATGTCAAGTAAAGGTTTACATAATCTTTATGTGTGAATTTCTCAAGACCTTGTGAAATTTCTATAACTAAATCAATATCAATTGTCTATCAATATAAAAAGGAGCACGACCATTTGATGTCTTCCATAAGAGAACGCCAACACTGTATACATATTAAGTGTTAGACACTTATTGTGACTTGAAATAATATTAAATAGACCGAAATATATTGTATTTTACCTCACGAAAAAGTTCTTTTGCGGTGGCATTGCAAAGTTAAAAAACGAATTAAAAAAAAAAAAAAAAAATGGAAATCCATTTCTAAGCCACCAAATAATTACGGTAAAATCAACAGGCGATGACAAATTCGTGCGCTTGGGACAGTTTATCTAAATTACATATACTATGGAATTTTAAAAATCAGATAATTAGAATGATGTTTTTTTTTTTTTTTACAAATAAAATATTTAGATCACAAAAAGTCTGGCGTGTTGAAGATTCTTATGAAACAACATAATATCTTTGATTGTTGAATTCAATACTCAAAAAAATAAAATTACAACCCCATAATTAAGGATTTTTAACTTCATGTTTCTATTGACGGAAGATGCGTGTATAATAAAGTAGCCTTTTATTGATTTATAGATTTAATTTAAAAATTTTTTATTTACAGATATCAAACCATCATCTAAATGACCTAAATACAGAATTTAATCTAAAATTAACAATATAAAATATTGAAGTTCTTTAATTAAAAAATTTTACATTATAGCGTAAAACTAATTTGGTCGCTTCGTTCATGATCTTACAAGTTTTTCTAATTTATTTCGAACATTTTTATGTCCTTGTTGAGCGGATTTTTTATACCAATAAATTGCTTGATCTATATCTTTCTCAACTCCTATTCCATTTTCATAAAAAATTCCGAGGTTATACTGGGCAATCACATTCTCCAAATTTGCAGCTTTTTCATACATTTTAAAGCCTTTTGTTTGTCAACCTTAGTTCCAATTCCATCATTATAACAACGTCCTAACATTGATATTCCATCCGAACATTCTTTACTAGCTGATCTTTTAAATAACTCAAAGGCTTTATCATTATCTACGTTAACGCCACATCCATTTTTATAATAGAGACCGAGGTTACATATAGCAATAAGATTTCCATTATTCGCGGCCTTTTCATACCAATGAAAGGCCATTTTTAAATCTTTTTTAACACCCATACCATTTTCATAAAAATAACCAAGTTGTAATTGTCCTGCCGAAAACTTTTGCCGGCCACGCCCTCATAATATTTAAGATCCACCTTTTCATCTTTTGTGATACCATGTCCCCATTGATAACATAATCCAACATAAAATTGTGCTAGAATATGACCTTGTTTTGACGCATTAAAAAATAAGGTAAACGCCTTATTATTATTTTCACTTGTACCAATTCCAATATAATTAAAATATCCAAGCAAAAATATATTATTCAAATTATTTTGATTTTCTAATAAAAATTGACAAGTTCTTGTAAATCAATATTTTGGTTATTAAGATAATCGAAAATAGGTTGTTTGATTTTCTTTGCTTAATTCCTTCATTTTTCTCTTTAAAAATAATACCAACTATTTCATCAATAGTTGTACTTAAACTTGATTTATGATTGTTCATTTGATCATTGTCTGTCATGTTTGTTTTTGTGATAATTTCATTTAATTTATCAACTACTTGATTCATAGTTGGACGCTTATTTGGATCATTATCCAAACACTAAATAAATAAATATAAATTTAATATTAAAAATATGATTATTTACGTTAAAAATTCATAATTAGAATATATTTACCAGTATAAATGTTTATGTAATCTTTAGGTGTACCAGGAATGATCATTTCTCTAAGACCACGTGAAATTTCTATAGTTAAATTAATGTCATATTGTCCATCTTCAACATAAAAAGGAGGATGACCACTTGATATCTCCCACAAGAGTACGCCGAAACTGTAAACATCATTCTTTTCGTTTAATGTATATTGCTACGAGTTATTGTCACTATTTCCTTGTCTATTAAAATTTTTTGGATCCATATAAGAATTTTCACCAAAAACTTTTGATTGTTGTTTAGATGCTGCTTCAATTCTTTTTGACAGTCCAAAATCGGCTAGTTTAATAATTCCTTGATGAATCAATATATTACCGGAATGCTATTATATGAAGAAAAATTAGATTAATAATTAACAAAAAAATAAACATAAAAAAATTCACATTACGTAATCTTACCAAATCACCATGCACAATTCCTTTACTATGTAAGCACGATATAGCACAAGCCAATTGGTATGCCTATTTGTATTTATACCTCCATGCGAGCTTATCAAAATTTTCCTTCAAATAGTTTCCGATCGTGCCGCTATCAGCATATTCCATCACCAACCAATATCCCTTCAATTGATCGTTTTGATTTTCTAATTTTTTTTTTTTTATATAAAAAAAATTAAATAAATTAAATAAAGCCAAGATGTTATCTTTAATAAAACTTCATACGAAGATTTTATACCTTGATTTGAAGTTGTAATCCCACAAAAGCGGATAATGTTGTCATGAAAACCCACTTCACGATGAAATTCAAGCTAAATTATTATAAGTATAAATTTTAGCTTGATATATAATGATTTTAATACTAAATAGATAATATACCTTGTATTTTTGTAATTACCTCACGAACAAGTTCTTTATCGGTGTCATCGTTAAAGTGTGCAAACGATTTTAACACGAAAAGTTGCCTTGAATCTTTCCAATTTGCACGATGGACTTCTCCAAAGCTGCCAGTACCGATCTCTTGAATATTGCTAAATTCCTTGTATTCATAGCATTTAATATTTTTGCTTGAGATAGATCTTACAATCTAGTTGGCCCATTCATTTGAATTATTGGTATTTTGCATTTTGATTGATGGGGAAAAAGTCAAATGTAAAATAAATGCACTTGGTAAATCATGTAACGTTGATCAAATTTCTAAGCCGATCGAGACGAAAAAATTGTGAATTATCAAAAAGATATTTAAGACTTTAATCATTTCATGTTACAATTATCCATTAATTGTCGTGTGTGAAAATTGTTTAAGTGATTTAATTTTAAACTTTTGAGACGTAGTTCTTACGAGTTTAGTATTCCGGCATTTTATTTCTGATTGGAAATAAAAATTTTGTCAGCATAATCAAAATATTTAAAACTTTTAAAATTCATATCATAGAGCTCTACAAATTTACTGAACGTCATGAAATACCTTATTAAAAAACTATTAATCACATTTTTGTTGATAAAGATGCTTCACTTAAGAGAAACGATTGAATCGGATCATATTTCGGACATTCCTTGTTACGCCATCTAAAAAATCACAAGCCACGATGTTTACCAGGTTCAGTTAATTGACATATAAGCCACAAATTTATCTCGAGTTACATTTTTTAAAAAAAATTATTTTAGATTTGTAATTGTGGAAGAAGCATCTCAAGTATCTGACACCATCTGCCTTACTCCGTTGGTTTTAGTAGTGACCATAAAACAATTGTAGGGTATTCCATTTCGCTGGTTGAACGAAGTTTAATGAGTTATATCCTGTTTACCTACTTGACATCCAGTACCGAATTCACCCTGAAATTACTTTTACGAAATAAGATGAAGAATGGGATCGATGAAATTTCCCTTAGTGAATGGATTTGCATTAGTTCAATTGTCTGGAAACGAACCAACTTTTAAAACTCCAAATATAATCAAGCAGAATAATTGAGGCATTGAAGATGATTTTAGAAATTTGAACGTGGCACCCCTAGAGATTGGTATCATTAGCTTGTATTCAGCCCAGTTTAAAGATGGTCCTCATAATTATTTTCAAATTTCAATTGAGTTGCAACTTAATTGCGCCATAAGGAAATTTAATTGCGCCACAAGTTGCAACTCAATTGCGCCATTTTTTTTAATTGCGGTGACCAGTTGGAAAAATGCCTGCAAAAATACATCAGCCCGAAACATTGAAGGAATACGGCCAAGGACGAGAGAAACGTAAGCGAGGGGCTTATCATTTTTGGAGACGGAAAGATTTTTGCACCAATGAAATGTGGCAAAAATGGAAATGGTAATTGATTTAAGATTTAAATAACTTGCAAAAAAAATAAAAATGAAATTTTGCTTTTGCAGTCCCAACCACTCGTTTTATTATAGAAGAAACAATTTTATATCAAATCGTATTATAAATCTGACTAGAAATTTTATTATTTATTTATTTGTTAATTACATATATTATATATTATTTTCATCTCTAAAGCTAAATATTTAAAGACGATTATTTTTAATCGAAAATAAAATCATTAATTAATATTTGATAAATATTTCACCCTTTAATATATATCTCAATTTGAATTTTAATGTTACATTTCATAAAAATAAATTTCTATAAGAAGGATTTTTGTAAAAATAGGCAATGAATAAACATTTAAAGAATAATATTGACATTATTCGATTTAACGCGTTCTACTATATATAAAGAACCGGAATAATCTTAAATTAATTATTCTATATAAATTCTTCAAAAAATTAGGTTTTTCCATTTAATTAATAAATTATAAAATCCATCTCTCAAGAGTT